GTCTTCCTGATCTGAAAAAAACAGAAAAAAAAAAAAGACTTGGAGTTTGATGATCTCCAGGACTACCTAAGAGTTTTTAAATAAATTATGTGGGTCCAAGAGGTCACACAGCATGACAAATAACCCAAAACATACAGACGAAAAAGTACTGTTGAAGTTCAGAGGGCTTTTTCCATCCTTCTATAAAAACCAAACTTACCGGGACACTCAGTGGTTTAAAACCCTTCAATGGCTCCCGTTTGCCATCAGAGTACCTCCAAACTGCTTAGCCTAAATCGCAAAGTGCTCAGTGATTGGCCTCCAGTTTCTCTCTCCTAAGGGAATTTCTATCCCCCCTCCTCCCCGACTCCCAAGCATCAGTCAGGGCTTCAGCCACCTCCTCTCCGTGGCCCCTCCGCCTCTAGTCTGGGTCTCCGTGTGCGTGCGCCTGTGCACGTGTGCACGTGTGTGTGTGTGTGTGTGCACTCTCTTCCTGACCATCCCGCCTGCTCCGACTGGTCTTCACCTGCTTCAACTCCAGACACCTCAAGGCTGAATTTGCCTTATTTCCTCTGTGCTTTCAAAGTGCCAGTGCTTGCCCCCATAGTGGCATTATCAACTCATCCCAAGATATTTTAGTTTTCACCTTCCCTGTCTCTCTCTCTTGCCGGACTCTGAGCAAAGCGGAAACTGTCTTGAGATAAAAGACTTGCTCGGGCTGTGCCAGAGGACAGAGAGGTCAATGTCTTGGTTACTGAATGAGCACAGTGGGGTGGGGGAGGAGAGACCAGGGTGCTGTGATTGTTCCTCAAGTCTCTGTGACTGCGGCCACCTTTGCAAATCACAGTACCTGCAGGTTATCACTCTCCTTAAGATAGGACTGGGGAGGAGGAGGGGGGCTGAACTTGAAGGAATCTGACTTACATCATGTTTCTCAATTGTGGCTGCACATGCCAATTACCTGGGGGAGCTTTGAAAAGTACCAATGTCAGATCTGGTCCAGGAGAGTCTGATAGAGTCATTCCGGGGTAGGGCTCTGGCCTCTGTCTTTTTAAATGGCTCCTGGTGATGTTTCTGGGAACCAGGCTAAGAATGTCTCTTTAGGGGAGTGTAGAGTTAAAGGGGCTGGATTTATCTGCAATGAATTTTGTTTGGGGGCTTCCCAGGAGCGAAAATAGGTCAACCCTGTCTATTTCCTAACCTTACACAATTTAATTCTTCATATCCCAAATTCAGAGCACAATTCTCCAATCTACAAACACACAAATTCTCCAGTCTACACGCACATCATATATTCATTCTGCTCCCACAAGAGGAAAGACTAAAGGGGGAAGTTCATTTCGAAACCAGTAACTAGCAAATTATCTCTAGTTTCAGAGAAAAGACCTTGGCCTTTTTTGTGGTAGGGGTTTAACATTTCTTCCATGTTAGGGCTCTTCATGTTGATATTAGGGGGCTTCATACAGATTTTCTCATGAAAAAGAAACATAGTATAATTTAACAAAGTAAATGTTTGAAGTGACTCTAAAACTGGGACCAAAGAGGACTTGGGTAAAACCGGATGGAGGTGGTAAAAGCCGTCCTCCAAGTTTTCACTTCCACTTGTGAGCGGTGCACAGTGTGTCCCTGGCCCCACCCCCACCTCCAGGCATTGTTGCAGACCTTTCTCTGCATTTTGTGCCATTTTCTGATCCCCAGATCTTTAATAAATGACAATGGATGTCAAATGAGATCATCAAGCCAAGTAATACCTCATTAAAGGTTACAGGCCTCATAGCAAATCATGCTTCTGTCTAGTTTAAATTCATGAGTTTCTTGTGAAGACCTTTAAATAATGATCCTAAGACAGATATCATTTCAGACCCCTTACGTGGCAGATGGGGGAGATATGTTTTTAATGACTTCACTGAGATACAGTTTACATGTAAAATTCATCCATCTCAAAAGCTGGAAGCAATCTAAATGTGTACAGATGGATGAATGGACAGACAAAATGTAATGTCTACATTCAGACAATGGAATGGTTATTTACTCTTAAAGAAGAAAGAAATTCTGACACATGCTACCACCTGGATGAACCTTGAAGACATTATGTTAAGTGAAATAAACTAGCCACAAAAAGACAAGTACTGTGATTCTGCTTATATAAGGCACCTAGAGGAGTCAAATTCATAGAGACAGAAAGTATTATGGCGGTTTCCAGGAGCTGGGGGAAGGGAATGAGAAGTTGTTCATTGGGTTTGGAGTTTCCATTTTGCAAAATGGAAGAGTTCTGTGGATAGATGGTGGTGATGGTAGTACAACAAAGTGAATGCACTTAATGCCACTGAATTGTGCACCCCAAAAAGGTTAAGATGGTAAATGTTATATTACCTGTATTTAACTATAATTTAAAAAAATAAATTCACCCATCTAAAGTGTACAATTAATTGGTCTTTAGTATATTTACAGAGTTGTGCAGCCATCATTACAATCTAATTTTAGAACATTTCCATAACACCCCCCCCAAAAAAAAACCTTTTCTCTTGGGGAAGATCTTTTTAACAGGTCATGGGTGTCATGTGTTATTCTTCTGGGACTTGACTTCATGGATTCCTAGGAGGGGCCTTAGAGATTTTAGTCCAACTCCTCAGATGAAGAAATTGAGGCTCAGAGAAGCAGAGTGTCTTCGCAAATGTCACACAGCAAATTCATTGACAGAGCCAGGTCTTTTGATTTCCCATGGAGTTACTTTTCCAAATACAAAAATGCCATGTCACTTGCATCCTTCAAATAATGCTGACAGTAGATGAAAGGTATCAGGAAGATGTTACCTTTCCCAGTGTGGACATGTGGGCTCTTTCTCCTGCCTCCCATCTCACCCACCTGGGTCAGGAAGGAGAGAGTAAAGCGAGGAGAGCGGAGAAGTCTGCAACTGTGTTCTGTAATGCTTCCTCGTGCCTTAACTGTTAAGGGAAGTGTTATAATGAGTTTTATGGAGAAAAATGTCATAGCCTCTCTTAGAAGAGTGATTGGAAATACAGCTAGGTGTAATGACTTTACTTTTGAAACATGCTGCCTTTGGTAACTGGTAGCCACCAGCATCATCATGTGTCAGAAATGCCAAGGTCTTGGGCTGGCAGTGGTGGTCCTTACATGTCTCATCGATGTATGATTATTGGGAAGCAGCAGAGGAAATGTGATTTGATGCTTCTATATGTCGCATCTTCTGCTTCTTGCCTTTGTACTCACAGTGGTAGCATTTAGGTCCAGCAGAGCCTGGGCCACGGCAGCAGTTGGATAAAAGTTGGGGTTTGGAGTGGGATGGAAGACTAACTTGGTGAGCAAGAGCCTTCAAAATGCCTTCCAATGCTCCTTCTGAACACATTGGTCAATTGAAGCATTTTCAGCTGCTCTTATTTCCTGGAGATCTGGTGGCAAGGGTTCTGTGGTTGCTAAACATGGAAAATAGGGTCAAGGAAAATCATGTAGCAACAGACTCAGAAATATTTAGACCAAGTCCTGAAGCTTAATTGGGGCAAGATTTGGGCCTCTTTTTCCTTCTGACTTTTGGTCTCTCTGGGACTTTGACATGCCTTCCTCTTTCCTGGTTACCTTCCTAACTCAGCAGGAGATGATGTAGGCCCCTTGGAATTTCTCCCACCAGGCTACTCAAGAGGCAGGGTCTCTAAATGTCCTGTAAGTTTTCATCCTGATGAGACAGATCTGACTGGAGAGATTGCTATAGGGAATGACACACACTCCAAGACAATGAGTTCCCTGAGGATAGTGCCTGAATTATTCATTTTTAAACTCCTGGCGCCTAGCAGAGTGCTTAGCATGTTTGCTGAATGAATAAGTAGTAATATTTCACATCAAATGATGCATTATTATTTACAAAGTGATTTATTTCCCATGTATGAACTCATCCTCACAATGGCCCCTATTTTACCCCTGGAAGGTAGGTAAGGCTGTTTTAAAGATGAGGTCACATAGCTGTAGGTTGGAGAGGTGGCTTTCAGTTGGCATTTTTAAACAGGTTTCTTATTAAGACTGCCCTTCCTAAAATGTCTGAACACTAAGAGAGATATGAATAGGGAGTCAGACATTTGTGGTCTCTGCATTTTGTTCCTAAATGTAAGGTAGACATATGCTTCATCCAAGTGTCTCACTAATGCTGTTATTTTGTCTGGTTGCTAGTCACTGAAAGTGTGTAAGTTTTCAATTACATTTTGAGTATAATAGAATTCAGGGGATAGCCTGGTAAACTGGTTAATCCCCCTGTCATTTGTAGTAAATATTTCCTGATACAGATTTGGCATCATACACTATTGTATCTAATACAGTTTTTGGTCATTTCAGTTAACTAGATTGTAGCTGCATGGCCCTGGGTCTTCAAGAAACACATGTTCAAACATTCTCCCTGCTTAATGAGATCCTTGCTCTTGTTGAACTTCTATGACCTTCTACTGGAAATCGATGATTGCTTCTGATCTTCCAAATGTATTGTTGAGGAGATACCTAGATGAAATCACTATACAAAATGCTTTGAGATTGCAGGATGTGGAGAGCGCACTGTCATTAAAATGAACGATTCTGCTCGGAGGTAACCCATTATTTTAACTCTGCGTGTATATGAATGAGGGAATTTCTCCGTTTTCCCCCAATAATTCGTACGATCACAGCCCTCCTGGTAGCAGGTATTGCCTAACTCCTGGGCAGCAGTTTGGCTAAAGCGAGCTTTCCTCTCCTAGCAACTGTTGCTAAGAGGGGCGTGGCCTCGGAGTGGTGCGAGGACGCGTTAGGTGGCCGGCTCCCCCCTCACCCGGCAACGCGTAGACTACACTTCCCGTGATGCTCCAGGGTGGTCTCCGTAGTGACGCACTTAGTGCCGGCAGGGGGCGAGGGGGAGGGGGTAGGGAGAAGGGGGGGTGGGCGCGGCTGCGAAGGC